ACGCCCACACAGCCACACGCCCACACAGCCATACGCCCACACAGCCCTCACACACCCACACAGCCATACGCCCACACAGCCCTCACACGCCCACACAGCCATACGCCCACACAGCCATACGCCCACACAACCCACACGGGCCGCACCAGTTTGATTGGGTGCCCATATCTTCACGTTGACGGGGTGCTGAGGGAGGTTTCTAAGCTTCTCAGACCCCAGTGGCTCGAACCTGCTCTTCCCAAATGGAGCCGGGGGGTCTGAGTGTTGGCCGTCTGTCTTCCGACACACTGCGCGTAGCACCTGGGGTGAGCGCCGTATACGCCGGCTGAGGTGCCCATTAGCAATAAGCTGCCCCTCCCCGCCCCCCCCAGCCGGAAGGTCGTGTGAGGTGCCCAGTTGCTCACAGACAGCAGATTTATGTGCCTATATCCGAGGCTCCCGCCTGCCGGGGATGTGCTGAGCTTGCAGAATCGCTCCAGCTTCCGGGCCGATTAGTCAAGCCTGACCGGGCGGTAATGTGATCCTGACCCCTCCGTCGCCGCCGCCCCCCTGCCCACCCCAGCCGCCATCTCCTCAAGCTAACAAAGAAACAAAAATCCTTAACTTGATTTGGTCCATTCTCAAACAAACAATGTCATTTAATCGGAAACCAACTTAAGTAATTGATCCGGGTTCTTAAGAATAATCAGATGATGTATTTCAATGGATCTGAATTGAATCAACAGCTGAATCAAACCTGACAGCCAAGAAAAGGCAAGCCAGACGGGGTGGGGGGGGGTGGCAGGGCTGATAAGTCAGCCATTCAGCAGAGCAGAGACTGTGAAAGCAGGAAGCAGAGTCTCACGGAGTATAGGGAGTGTTAATAGCACCAAGAGGAATCATTCATCTCCCACACGACAGGGGCTGGGAGTTCACTGATTGGTAAGATGAGGGGGCAGCTTCCGTACAGTGTCAGGCTGAAAGGGACGCCACGTAGATAACAGGGGGTCCATCCCGTCCCTGGATGAGAGATACGGGTCACGTGTGTCTCCCCAGAGCTGCCCCGGGGTCCAGTAAAGGCCAGGGGTCACAATCACAAACAAGGAGGCGGCCTGAGAAACCAAACAGTGAAGCCAAGCCATGTGACGACAAGTGGAGGAGTCACGTGACCGTACCTGAGAGGTCTCTGTTGACGCCCAGGGCTAAGCCGTTCTTGACCCAGAGCACGATGCCATGGTATCCGGGGATGGAGCAGGGCAGGGTGACGGGCAGACCCGACACCACCACGACGTCGGTGGGTTGCTGCGTGAAGACGGCACACCACCCTGGACAGGAGGGGGGGGGGGCGGGGGGAGAGGGTTGTCAGTTCACAGGAATGATGATAGTGCAGCGCTTACGTTGGAGAGATTGCAGTAGGAGAACCAACACACTTCCGGCGCGCAATGCTTTCCCTGGGATTGCTGCCAGAAATCCGTCACCCCTGGATACAGAAAAACGGACAAACGAACAGCAAAAGAAATCGGTGGGGGGGAGGGAGGTGGGTGGGCGGAGTACAGGAAGGCAGCTCTGGCGGAGGCGGAAACACCATTTATCGCGGCGTTCTCTCTGTCTTGCCGCGCTCCCAACCGAAAACGACACCGAAATTGCTCTTTTAATACGATCCAGCGCTCGCCTTGTTTTGATGAGGCGCTGGCGCTGTGCCAGCAGGTAATCACCCCGCTTATAATAACAAACACCCCCCATCCGCTTTGACGCAAACTCAATTCTGCTTTTTAAATTCGGCTATTTTGCGATATTATAATGAAACACACTTCTTTTAAGTACCTCGTCGGTCATTTGTTTTTCTCGGCGAGAGGTGAAGGCTCGTTAACGATGTTTCTGTGCCTTTAAACGTACATGAACGTGCGTCGAATGGATGTAATACCCCAGTGCCCCTGCTCTGCCCCCCCATGTTGCAAGAAATGGGGAGGGCGTTCATGGCGACCACGGTGGTGTAGGAGTAACACATACACACATCTGCACCCTTATTGTTCTGGGTCAGTCACATGATTAGCCACGCCCTCACATTCGATCCCACAGTAGCCGCTCCTATTGGCTATGACACGGATGGAAGGCGGAGACCAGCCTCAGGTTACATGGTGATTTAAGAGATAAGATTTCCAAAGCAGTGCGTTGTGGGATTGCCACACCCTGCCTGATCAGCTGATTTGACCCACATCTTTTTAACTGTGTCTTTGGTCTGCAGTTGGATAAACTAACCAGTTACTGACAGCCCATAATAGTCCCACCCGCCCCCTCCAATTCAATTCAGGTTTACGTCACTGTGATGCAGTCACATGATCTCGTCTCAATCCTGTGTGACCGCCAAAGTGGAGGCCCAAGCCCACCCCCCTGTCCTCCTTCCCGCAAAGAGGCTACACTACAGCGGCAGCAGTGGGAAAAGGGTGGGGGTGTTTATTAGCCACCTAGTGAGGGTGGGTGGGGGGGTCGGGAGGGTCACACCTGCTGTCTTTCCACTCCAGGGAGCTGTAACTGGCGGTTGGGGTCTGTCCTCAGCCCCCTGGAGGAGTCCAGCCGAGCGTGACGGCAGCCCGTGTGGAAAAATCAGGCGAGTCCCTTTTATTTGCTGACATTTAAGAACTGGGAACTGAAAAGAGTGACCAGGGACTAAAATGGGACTGATGGGCACTGGCAAACGGGCAGAATGCCGGCGGCGAGCACAGGGACACCGGCAGCAGTGGAGGAAGGACCCCGCACATCTGTACTCACTGGCCCAGTGCAAGGACACCGGGAGCGGTGCTGGAAGGACCCCGCACATCTGTACTCACTGGCCCAGTGCAGGCAGCCACTGATCTGCCCGCCTCCCGGTGTGTGTATGCGGGCTGGGCTGGGCTCACCCTTGGCAGCTTTAACAGTGTGGGGGGGGGGGCACATGCCTATGTTCCGTTTAGCGCGTCTTTATAGCTACACGCATGATGCATGGACATGCATGCAGCTAAACATGCGACTGTGAAATTTCAAATGCCACCCCCCAGCCCCCCGGGCAAAACGGCAAAAAAAAACAGGATTTGGATGAAAATGCATCTAGTGAAAAATAAGACAGACGGGCAAAACGTCTCTGAGAACATATTTCTCAAATTGCCGCTTCTTCAGCCCAATTTCCCTTCGTGCAGAGACCCCAGTTTCCTGTCTGCACCCGTGCGACAATAAAAGCGAACATTATCTGTTTGCCTCCTCTCTAGACAGAAAAGAGACAAACTTCTAGAAGTCCCCTGTGAATGTGCGATAATGAGGATTTTAATTGCGGTTAAGAGATGCGTTAAACACGAAAACCGGGCCTCCGTCGCATGTGCTGTTGCAGGAACCCTGCCCCCGGGATCCAGACTGGAAACAGGCATGAGCAAAGTCGTAATATGACACGCACCGTCCAGGGGGTATGTTGTGAAGACAGAGTACACGCCCCCTGAAGGTTAGGTGATGGTACTGCGGTCACCCTTCACCGGCAGCAACCATCACAGTATCGAGGCTGGAATTTACTGCCAGAAGGCAAGTAAACCCTCTTCAAAGAAACCAGATTAATTTTCCTATTACATGGCCTGTTGGAGTCACATGATCCCGCCCTCATCATATCATTTCGACCAAGGTACTACATGTTCAAAGGCACAACAGCATACCCCTGCTGGGATTTGAACCTACAACCTGCAATCTTCATGCCATTTATTGCTAATTTTCTACTAGACGCCCAACATTAATCTTTTTGCTAAACCTCCAGCTGTATAAAAAAAGAAAATATGCAAGGATTAATGGACCAGGATCATCGTAGATGACGTTACCCATCCATCTTTCTGCCACAGGGTAACCGGAGGGTTGGGGGAGGGGAGGGGGGCTCATCGGAGACAGCACAGGAACGACGTCACATCACAGACAACACACAGGAGGCCAGCCATTTGACACGGGAAGAACATGCAAACTCCAGGCACACAAATCACAGGTGGATTTGAACCTACAACCTGTGGGTTGTTGGGTGTGAGGCAGATAAGATCTCACAGGAAGCAGGAATAAGATTAGAATAAAGGCGGGGTAGGGTGTTTTCATTGGTGTGTTAGTGAAACAGCTGACGGCTCCTCCGCGTGATTGGCTGTTCCCTGCACCACCCCCTTTATGGGCGGAGACAGGCAAGTAATCAGACTCATTTGCAAGGATCAGCTGTGGCCGTTTTGGCAGCTGCCCCGTCTGATGTTTGCTCACAGGTTGATAATTAAGATCCGCAGCCCCAGCGGGCTGCCCCCCCCGCCTCTGCAGGAACAGGAGAACAGGAGAGGTGGCGTCGGCAGCACATTCCGTCATGCGACAAAACGACGAGCCGCAGGAGTGCCAGGAAACTTTTAAACACCGCTTTGGAAGCTGAGCGATGGGGCCGGGTGATTTACGATTAGCGCATTCAGAAATGCATGCGAGCGCAAACAGCTCCCGCTTACCCCCTGCCCCATGTTTAATGAAGAATGGCACCGCTGCATGCTGGGAATGGAAAAGGAACTATTACCCACAATGCCGTTTTTCTTTTTTATTTACTGCAAACTGCTGCCTAAAATATTATCCACAACACGGAGTTTGGGAGCATTTGAGCTTGCTTACGCTTTAGTTCTAATGTTTACTTGAAATATTTTTTTTTATAATTTTGCTGTTAATAGTACTGAATGTTCATGGATATTTAGGAATCAAGAGATTTGCCCCTCAGTTGTTACGCAATTGATTAAAGAGACCCCCAATCCAAAAATGTGTATCTCTCACCCCTCCCTCTCGTCCTCGTTGAATTGAGCTCTGAACGATGATCATGGTTATGCCGACCTGCCTGCTCTCAGTGGCGCCCCCTCTGTTCAGCAGCCGTCGGTGCTCCTTCCCGCTCTCCCCGTATCGAGCTGTGCTCGCTTCACGATGCCCAGCACCGTCTGTTTGTCAAAAGTAGGTCTAAATGCAAATGCGGGACAATCCATATGCGGGGTGGGGGGAGGGGAGTTCCACTAACGGGGGGGGGGACTCTTTCCCCAACACACTACATTATGCTACATTACTGGGCAACATAGTGGACAGCTTAACCCAGGGTGAAACGCATCTGAGCCACACGCTCTGCACATTCGTGGGCTTATTAAAGGTACAGGCCTGTAACGGGACTCAAACATTAATTCAGCTCTTTGGCCATTACGCCACCTACTGGTAAGTACCAGGTATATTCTCGCAAGCACTGTTGATTATCAACATGGACCAAAGTTCTGTGCCTCAGCGGCGCCTCCTGGCAGGTCTCCCCGCTGCCCACGCTCCCTGTAAACCGCCAAGGTCCACCCCCCTTCCCCCCATATCTCTCTGCCTCCACACCTTTAAAACACGCTGCTGTTTGTTTGACCTGCTATCGGTGCTGAAACGGGGACCCCCCCCCCCCATCCTGAATCAGATGACAGGGGCACTCCCCCATAACAGAGCGGGCCAAGACCCCAGCAGGTGGTCTGAAGTTACACTTAATGTCTGTTCTGCTTTGTAACCACCCCCCATCTCCCCCACTGCCAGAATGACTCAAATGTAACGTCTGGACCCCCATGCGGATCTTGAGCAGGCCCTCCGACTCAGCGCAGCGTGTGTTCATATCCCACGTTTCTGTTAATGACGTCATTAGCAGTGAACTTTCAGGGCAGCTCCTGTCCCTCTATGTCTGTCTGTCTCAGTGTATTTGTGTGTGTCTGTGTCTGTATCTATCTGTCTGTGTCTGTATCTATCTGTCTGTGTCTGTATCTATCTGTCTGTCTGTGTCTGTATCTATCTGTCTGTGTCTGTATCTATCTGTCTGTGTCTGTATCTTTATCTATCTGTCTGTGTCTGTATCTATCTGTCTGTGTCTGTATCTATCTGTCTGTGTCTG